CATAATTCCGTCATAAAATTGACGTTTTTGATGAAAAACTGCAGAAGAATTTCATTCACTGAAATAATGAACTAATCATATCACTCAAAAACTTCAAATTTTAATAATTGCAAAATATGAAGGCAAAGAAAATTTTAACGTTTATGAAAGCTTAGCAAATGATTTGAATGATTTAACAAATGTTTACCTTTCATTAACAATATTTCTCATTTTTCTTATTTAAAAACTTAGTGCCAATCAAATAATCAAACAAATGAATTTGCAAGAACTATTTATATATATATATATATTTTTCTTTTTTTTTTTAAGAGTCCTTATCATTACTGGTTAAACTCGCTCCACGGGCTTGTCGCATTGAACAATAAGCCAGGGATTCTCTTGGCGATAAAAATACGGATTCGCCAGGATTTTTGTACAGGTTTACTCCTGCGGAGAATTGAACCTCAAAATCGGCGTTACCAATTGAGCAACAACCCATCGAGCCATTCTATCTTCATTTATATATATGTTTAGATTTTAGATCAGGTAAAAAACAATAAGAGTTTTATAGATCGACTGACGGTGACTGATGGTTTATTGCTTATAAAATTGTTATATTTTAAGAGTCGAGAAAAATATTTAGCAAACATATCGAACATAATATTTTCATTTCGAGAATTTTATTCAACAATTCGCAAGTCTATATCGGAGAAATAATTTAATTTTTTGAGCGAGAAACTCTTGATTATTAAAAAAAAAAATCTATTGTGTCTATCATATTCCGCCATATATTTTTTTTAGCATTTGAAGGACTGAGGGTAGAAATCATAAACGCTGTGTTTTTTATAGAAAATAGTGGTCAGTAATGAAGCGAACTATTAGAAAATGATTTACAGTGTTATAAAGTGAATAATAATAAATCCACAAAAGAAAACGAAACGCGACAATTTGAACTAATAAATAACCAAATAATTCTTTTTTTTTCAGTTTTCTTAGGATTTATTGACTTTTAAAATTCACTAAGTTTTGTTCACAATCCACAATTAATCCACAAAAAATAGTAAAAAAAAACGAAGATTTGTTTAGAGAGAGCAAAAGATTATTTGGAGAAATCATATGGTTGGATGGTTATTGAAGGTATAATAAGTCCAGTTGGAGAAGCATATGCCAAAAAAGACGAAGTATCACCGCAACATCGCTTAAAAATGTGCGAAATAATCACTAAAAAATCAAAATGGATCAGGTGATAATTTCAAAAATATGTTTTCTTATTGCAGTTCATTTCATCTCATTCGAGTCAAATGTATGTTTTTTTGCTTCTTTGTAAAATACATTAATCTATTCTCAATTTATCAATAGATTTTCACTTCAAAATAGTGATAGCAGTTCAATTCAAAAATAAAAAAAAAGTGATGAAAAGGACCTAATTTTAGTGGTCAGTAGAGTCAGTCGGAGTAGAAATAATGATATGAAGCCAAGGCAGGCTTCTCTCAATCCATCTGTATCCTTTATTCCCAAGCGATTATGCCGAAACGGTCATTCAAATTCTTCACCAGCAATGGTGATCTAACCAAATTAGAAACGATGTTGAAAAAATTTTCTTGTGGCTTAAATATTTTTTCTTTTTTTTTTGAAACTTAATTTTTTATAAAATATTTTAGTTATTTCTGAAAAATTTCTAGCTTTTTGATTACTTTCTTTATTTGTATTATTTTGAGAAAATTTTTCAAGAGTAACAAGTTCAACTGAAGTGAAGAAAGGTAAATAGTAAAAATTAATAAAATATTTCAGGGTAAATGGATGGGAATGTCAACAAAATAAGTGGATGAAAACGTTAAATGTGCTCAATTATTTTAATGAATATATTCGTAAAAAATATGAAAATATTTCTAATTCGGTTATAAAATTAATGTTACTTTGTGGTAGTGATTTTTTAGAAAATTTAACAAGCATAAATATAAATAATGCTGCAACAAATTTCATTCAACCTAATCAGGTTCAATTTTGTTGTTATTTTATCATTCCACTATTCTTGTTGAATTATTGGTAACATTTCTTTTTGGAAAGCCTTACAATTTTTTCCATAAACTGTTCAGAAACTTAAGGCTTTGACTCTAAATACTAGAAACAAGAACAACATCAGAAATCTTTGTTCAGAAAGGCACATTGCTAGGAATAGTTATGATACTGCGCAGAACCTTCAATCTCCATGGCTTGTGGCAGTGGACCCAGTACTAAGGATGATTCCTACCACTCACATCGATTGAGAAATGGATTTATACATTTTCAATTCAGGTTGAGGAAATCGTGAAAAATTTTGCTTTAATAGTTATAAAACGGGTAAACAGTGATCCAATGAAAGCAATATACCATAATGATATTTTAAGGAAGTATCAAGTAAGCCTTTTAAAATTTATAAATTACAAATTTATTAATTAAAATTTATTAAATTTCTGTAATTTATTCATTTTCCATATAGAAAAACCAAATTTACTAAAATTATTCAACAGAAATATTTTATACGCTTAGCAAAATTAAATTTCCGCAACAATTTGTTAAATCAGCTATTGTTTACATTGATTAATGACAAATTTACTGCAAATATTAGTGCAAAGCTATATATATGGTGCAAAAGTTTTGAAGAACGAAACTTTCCATAAATTTCTAAATAAAAACCAAACTTCCTTGAAACCGTTTAAGCCATTTTTTTTAAAGAGCATTCAGCATTATTCCTAATTCCTCTAGCATGCCCATCCTCTGGCTTAAATATGCCAGAAATTTCCTTGTCTATAGAAGTGGAGGTGAGTCGTCTTATTTTTGGGTAGATTTATGGTCTGCGGTATCTTCTTGATGAATAATTGAAATTCGCTTTCCATATGCTTAAAAAATAAAATGACTGATTAAATAAATTTAAAGAAATTTAAAGAAATGAAAATTTCATTTCCAGAAAAATATTCATGTTATTGAAGACGAAACATGTCCGAACAATATCAGTTCAACTCGCCTTAGGTTTATTTTTAAAATTTTGCCTAAATTTTGCTTACTTTTTTCTATTTATTCAACGAATATTTGGAAAATCGCCTAGAAGAACAAAATTTAAAAATAGAGTTAGACGCGATAAACTTGCAAAAGATATATATGTTCACAATTTTTTTCAATAATAAAAATATTATTAAATGCAGATTTTTTTTTAATAATAAACTTTTTTTTAATAATAAACTAATTATTCACTAAAAATTTGTGGAAAAAAACCGATAAAAATAGAATACTAAATTTTTCTGTATAGTCATAAATATAAATTAATTAAAAATTGAAGAATAAATATTTAAATGAATTATTTCATACGAAAATGTTGTGAAAAAAAGAATTTGCACTAATGCACTCCAATTTTATCAATATTTATGTTTATTTTTTTTATCAATATTTGATATTTTTAGCGATACTTTAATAAACATTGGCGAAAACCAATTAATTAGCAATTAAAATAAATAAAAACGTATCAATTTATTAACCTTTCATCTATTAAATATATTCGAAAATCGTTAATTAAATATATATTAAATGAACAGAAAGTGTTGTTTGCATAGAAGATAAGTGATAAATTGTTCAATAATTCAATATTATATTATAATGTAATTTGCAAATTATAATATATAAATTTGCTCAATAATATTTATTAAAGTGAAAAAAAATATTCCCTAAAAAATTTCATTAATATTCATCTTTTCTATCTTTTTTTTCTCATATTTATGCAAATCGTTTAGATTTTTTTTAAATCAAAAAAATAAATTTTGATAGATAGAAATAGATTTTATTTGAATAAATTTACGCGTATAGACGTATAAGACAATTTGCTTTTTAGATTATTGTAAAACAAAATTTTTATTTTTGAACACTTTTTTAGCGGTAAATTATATAGCTGACTTAATAAATATATTGTATTTTAATTGCAAATATTTTTAAATTGTAAATTGTAAATTATATTATAGTAAATTTATTATAATAAATAGCAAAATTTAAGGATAGCGCTAAGACGAAAAGAATCCATACTTTATTGTACCGACGACGAAGTTATTAAATATATCGAAATGAATGGCTTATATTCCAATAAAATTTGCCCATCATCACCGTAAAATTTTTGTTCATATTTTTAATAATTCATATTCTCTCAGTGTCGAACTTTCCCGACTGATATTTCTTTTAAAACTATAATTCTTTCGAATTTTATTTTATAAATCAGATGGAAATCATAGTTTGCCTGAATACCTTGGGTCCACTCTAATACCAAATGGACAGGCAAAAGATGATATTACAACTCATATCACGGTAGCTAGAAATGCGTTCTTCCGATTGATGAAAACTTTACGGAATCGTCGTGAAATCACCCATAAAAACAAAAGCCCGCATCTATATTGCCGTGATCCGTTCGATCTTATTATATGGTTCTGACACATGGCCAATGAGAGTGGAAAATATCAAGAAGTTATTGTCCACTCTTATCTTACATATTACGGATCCGTCGGATAAAATCTCACTACATCGCATCCACCTTTACATTCAAATACCACTTGCATAAATAATGTTATCACAGAGCGCCGTCTTCGCTGGTTGGGCATATTCTCCGTCGTCCACCACAGGAATTAACGCATATTTCGTTATTTGCTAAACCATGTGATGGTTGGCGTCAAAAGCGAGATGGTCCAATCAAGACCTAAACTGATACGGTAAGAAAAGGTTTTGAACGTATAGGTGGACCAGCAATACATGGGCTTGGACGATGGAAAAAGGAATGGCTTCCATATCGACGATGGCATCAGACCGCACCGCTTGGAATCGTCTTACCCTTGTAGACGTTGGAGCCAACCTAACCAGTAATGGTGAGAGCTGTTAAAAGAAGAAGAAAAAGTCTGTCTCAAATGGAAGAAATTTATGGATATTTTCGATTCTTATTTTTATAAAATATAACTGATAATAATATATAATAAAATAATTTAACAATACCGCATTTTAGTGAGGAATTTATGAATTTTAGAGAATTAAATTTAATACCGAAATCATCAAGTCTATCGAATGTTGCTAATGATGAAAAAAGGAATAATGATTCTTTGCTACCACAAAGATTTTCATCGAAAAGTGTAAGATTTTTTGCAGTTCAGAAATTATTGCTTATTTTATATATATCATCATTCACAAATTTATATATTGGCGCCTCATTAACAAAATATCTGCTTCCGGGAATCGAAGCTTCCGTTCAAATCCGCCAATGCACCTCGCTTCGCCAGAGAGTAATGTCTTCTAATGGAAAAAAACAAAAGGAGAGTAAAATGGTTCAGTGGATTGATGTTCAATTGGAGACTCTATCCATATTACCTATATGGATTAATCTGCCCAAAAATCTAGGTGATACTGGTGGTTCATCTGTAGTTTTATCGCTAAGAGGATCCTTTGCATATTTATGTAGTGCGATAAGCCAGCAAACAGAAGAACCAAGAACTAACCAGTAATGGTGCTCTTTAAAAAAAAAATCTTTGATATATTTATATTTTAAAGAGTAATGCCCGTATTATTTTTCGCTTTTTAGAGTTTAGATAAAACACATTTAATGCCTAAAATATGGAATTCAACAAATCCAAATTTTCAAAATGGAAGCGAGATTCTCTCAAAAAATTTCGAAACGATTCAGCAATTAAAAACTATTGAAATTCCTTCTGAAGGCAATCAGTTTGTGCCGAATTCTCACAATGATTACTATGGTGCAGCTACGTTTCCTGAATATAAAGTATTTCTTTCAGAAGAAATTATCATTTGGATATCATTTTTCTAATTTAATCAATCAGTGCGCATTGGCTCAATTTTAATATTTTTTAATTTTTCCCAAACATTACCAATAACTTAACGAAAATCGAAAATATATTTATTAAAAATGGACGAAAAAATGTGAATTATAAAGAATTTCAGTGCTTTAAAAAAAAGGCCAACCAAAAATCGCTTGATTCACCGAATTATGATAATATGACATTAGATGAATTAATTGCTGCAAGCACAAGTTGGGTTGAAAGTTTATCTTCGGCACAAGGTCGCTTATTTTTATTTTTTTCTCCCTATGATTAATTCTAATATTATTTAAGTTAATCTTAAGGAATTTTTCGTGATACATTATTCTTTTTTATAGATCTAACGAATAAAAATATTGGCGTAAATGGCAATTTTGCAAATCACAATGTGAGGAATTTAAAATATTTTTGATGAATTTAACAAAACAAAGAAATTTTGATAATGAAATGATTGTGGGAATATGTGAGCAAAATGGCTAATCGTTTTAAATTATCACTGTTATTTTTGCAAAGAAAAAAGATTTTGAAAAGATTTTGCTTATCAAAAATGCTTTGTTGGCAGCAAATTTATTTATTTTTTTCCAGTTTTTTACGTTCATTACCTTTAAATGCTTACAGAAATAGGAATCGAACCACTGGAACTTTGTTCTATGCAAGAAATTTTCAGAATCACGAGCCACCTAAAAGATCCATTAGATTTGCTAGTGTCGTAACAGAAAGTATCAATAACACTCTCACTTCGGAAGATAATGAAATAGAGAGTGTCGATAGTGTAGCAAGAAATGAAAATGAAGGTACCATTTCAAGTGGATCTGGCAGTATTGTGCTTAAATATCGTCAGTATAATTTAACATCAACGCCGGAAACTACCGTCTAGTCTTATTCTTTGCTAGAAGCCTTCAAAAGATTCAGGACTCATTTCAAGTGAATATATAAATTCATCGACAATTATCGACTATGTTTAGCGATTATGTTTATGGTTCAAATATTTTAACAAATTTTTTGTATGATTTTCAATTGTTGAAATTAAATTGCCTTTATTGTCCAAAAATTGCTATTTTTAATTATTTTCCATCGTTATTCATCCATAATCTTTTTTTTCTACGGAATTTTGCATTTACCATTCTGCAAGATATATGCATGAAATATTTGGAAAAATTCAATTGTTTACAAGAAATTTGTTGGTGTTCCGCTAATTCATTCAAATTTTATATATATTTTATAATTTTGTTTTTATAATTTTATATATATTTTATATATACATTTATATACATTTATATATATGTATTAATAAATGTATTTTATATATATTTATATATTTCACGCGATTTACAATTTGGTATACGATTATTTTTTCGTTTTATTTTTAAAAAATTGTTAATAAAAAATAATTTTCGGCGATTTCCATTATATCTGATTCTGTTTGTATACTCCTCTATACTTCTATTCTTTTTTTTCTCTGAGCATTGGTACTTTACCTATTAAAAATTTACTATATGCTAATTTACTATATGTTGGTGATAAAATTATTGTTTACAAAAAAATTTATCACGAATAGTTTTATGAGGTACAGTTTAAAGTTTAATCTAGGCTGTGGCCTTAAATTCAACGTGAGGAAAAATAAATGCATAATACAGGATCATTCACATTTGTTTAAAGAATTTTTACATGAGAAACAAATTTAAAAATTCTATTTCCATTATTAATAGCCATCTTCACCAAATACAAAGTCGAAAATTACAAAGTTTCCCGTAAAAAAAAATTTATAATAGTTGGCAAAAATTTATAATAAAGGAGGCGATTAAATAAAATTATTTGACAATGAAGGAAATTTAATTTTATAAATACAAAATATAAGTATTATGTAAAATACAGATATTTATATTTATAAAATATTGCATTATTATATATTATAAAATATATAGAACATATATATTATATTATATTATTATATTGTACAATAGTTTATTATATATATACATATATATATATATATGCATAAAATAAAATATTTATGTATTTATTAATATATTTATGTATTATATAATTTTATATAATAGTTATATTATATTGTATAATAGTTTATTATTATTCATGAAAATTTATAATAATTAATTGAAAATTTAATAAAATTTAATGAAATAAAGTAAAAATATAAATTGAATAGAAAGAATACAAATGACAATGATATGTTTTAGTCTAATTTTATTTAAATGAAATTTTGTTCTTCGCGAAAAATTGTTTGTTAATAGATCATTTCTGAATAGTGCCGAGATTTCCTTAAAATTTAGCATTTTTAAAGAGAAATTTTTTAGATAAAAAAAAAAAAACATCTTTTGTAAGCTCATTTCGTAAAAATGGAGTGCCTCAGAAAATTGCTAAGTCGATGAGATTAGCGAAACCGTCTCAAGAAAAAAATTTCCCCGAGGAGCAATAGTTGATGAGTGGCATAGGAACTCGAATAAAGCTTATAACATATTGCGATATATCGTTTTCGTTTTAAATAAAGAGAATTTTGAAGGAGAAAAAAATTTGTTAAAACAAATTTTTAAGATATTTTTTAATAATTTGAACAAAAATTATCAAAAATCCAATAATTTATGACAATTTATATTTTCTAAAGATTTTTCATCAAATCCTTGTTGTTCTCAAATTTTTCAAAATATAATTAACCAACTTTGGCGATAATTTCTTAGGGCAAAAATTGGATTGAATGATTTAATCATTCTTTTAATATTAGCCATTTCCGGCTTCACTCGTTATTGCAATAATATCCTTTGTTATAGAGTCACATGGAAATAAGGAAAAAGTGAAAAAAAGTGTTGAGAATACTAAACTTTTAACGTACCTTAAATGTTTTGCCTGAAGTCTCCGGAAGAAAGAAGTAAATTCCTAATATATAACAATAATTATTTACGATTAATGGAATTAAAATATACTCCAGTCCATTACTATTCATAATCGATAAAATCACTGTTGTAAGTAAGCCACCGTACACATTCTGAAATACACAATTTTATACGATTGGCATAATTCAAATAACACCAGCATTTTTTTGTAAAAATCTACAACAGATTTAATGTCAAATGACATTAATATAATGACCAAGTTTTATCAAATTAAAGAACTATGGTCAAATTTAACTTATATGATATAAAAAATATAGAATGTAGAAATAAATTTCTGCTTTATACCTGTAGAAAAATAACTAAGGAAATTCCAAATGTTCGATCGGAAAGCCGAAATAATTCTGGAACGACAGTATAAGCACTTTCAGAAGCAAGAGCTGCCATACATAAGTCAATAGATGCTAGTATTGGTATAGCAATTTTCTTTATTTTCTGCAGCAATGAGCCTGTCAGTGATATTAAACAAGTATTATAAATAATGATCATGCCAAATTATAAGAAAACACCAGTTCTATGATTTAATATGATAATCATGATAAGCAATAATTGAAAAAATACCAATCAATAAACATTTCACTTTTTAATAATTCTAATAATTCCTTTTTAATAATTTTAATAATTCCTTTCTTTTGATTATAATTTATTCCTTTCTTTTTTTCTTTCCCAATACTTTCGATATTGCTCGAAGTTATTATCATTTATACAGGTAAAATTTTCATTTATTTTATAGTCAATAGCAAATATTTGATTTTAACAAATACATTTTGCGTAAAAACGTTTTAATAAATATTACATTCTTTAATATAATATTCAAAAATAACGGATATTGAATAATATTTCCGAAAAAACAGTACATAATAGAAAACGAACGGATAATGGTCGGCGTGACACACGTGCATTTCTATCTCCAGAGGACATTTGCCTAATCCGACAAGCCAGCGGAGTGAGTCAAACCGGTAATGCTAAGTGTTTTTAAAATGGGTAATGGTGTAAATAGATTTCTCACTCTCATAGACCATTGCCGATTAAACTGCGTTTAACAAAAAAAGATACATACTATAACTAATCATCGTACAATAATTTTTAAACACTTTGGTATTATTTTCAGTTTATTGTTAAAGAAAAAATTTTTTTTAACTGAAAATCTCAAATGAAACTGAATTTTTCGCATAGCCAATAAGTGAATTTCATTTGCAAAATCTTTTTCCAATATAATAAAAGGAAAACTTCGCCAATTTTCGCCAATAAAAATATCTTCCTCATCTTCTAACAGCTTATTGGTTAGGCTGATTACGCTGGCTATAAGGGTAAGAGGTCTTCAAGCTGCTTAGTCATCGCTAGTAGTAATAGAAGGCCATTCCTTTTTCTATCGTCTAAGTCCATGTATCGCTGGTTCCTCCATACTTTAAAATCTTTCCTGACTGTATCAGTCCAGGTCTTGACTGGCCCTTGTTGCTTTTGACGCTAACTATCGTTATTGTTATAATTTCATACTTTCCCTGGCCATATGGGATTAGAGTGGATCCAAGGTATTTAAAGTCCAGCAATTCCTCAAACAGCAATGAATTGATAAAAATAGGTATGTTATCAGCCAATAAAAATATCTCTTTTACTGTTCTTTAAATAGTCTCAAATATTTCTTTTCTTATAGCAATGCATTCTACCACTTAGTTCTTTTTTTCTAGTGATAACTATAGAATTTGTGCGAAAGTAACAACAATTTTTATCTTATTTACATTGAAAACTATAATGTTTGACCTATCTATTACAAATTTTATATTTATAAATAATTTTTTATATTTTGATTTCCTTCCATATTTTATGGCTTCGTAGAAAAATTTAAAGAATATTTTAAATTTCGATTTTTAACATTTTATTATTTAATAAATTTTTTTACCATCGAACTTTTTTTTTTCTAATAAAAATCTAATTTTTTTATTTATAAATTTTCTTAAAAAATTAAAAATGAAAGAAAAAAAAAAAGATTTAAAACTAACCCGATCTTATTATATAAACAATAAACGTTGAGCATAAAATGCTTCCTATTGTTGGTGCAATTAGTAAAGAACGCCGTGTAAAAGATTCGAAATAAAATACTAAACTGATACTGATAAAAACGGCAGGTATTGCCATTAAAAGTGTAGTTATTTGAGATGTTCTTGCATCGTATCCAAAATTTATAAAAGCTTGCGTGGAATAAGTTATCCATAACTTAAAAATTTTTCTATATGCTTTTGTAATTTATTCGTAATACTAATCGTTTTTAATGATATTTTCACGATATTAAAATTCAAAGATAAAATTTAAATAAAAAATTATTAATAATCTGCAACACTATTCAGTAATAAGAGGCTATTTTTTATTATATTAGAATTTACTGATTAAAACTTTTTCATTTATATATAAAATTTGCTAAAATAGCAAATTAGCAATTTATGCTATAAATTAACCCAATCATCAATGTGAACGAAGCATTGCGTAAATAGCGCAATTAATAAGGGTTTAAGAAATGTTCCACTGGAAAACCTTGTAAGAATTAATTTTGTCGGATTTTTGTGCGGAATTATCCTAAAATTAATACAAAATTAATATTAAAATTAAGATTTTTAATTAAAGGAAACGATAGTAAAGAAAACGAGAGGATTTCTCAGTGTTTCTTCATTTTTCTTTTATATAGTATTAAATCGTCGAAATATTTTGCCAAAATTATAGAATTATATCGTTAATTGTTAAAAATTGTTGTCAAATTATATATATACTTAGATTCCTTATTTAAATCTCGTTGATAATCGTCCGTAACCAATTTCTTCTCATATAACATATCTTCGAGTGATAGTTGCCAATTATCAATGGTCTAAACAAACTTAACGATAATTTATATATTTTTATATATTATATATTTTTATATTTACTTATAATTTATATATTTTTTATATATTTTTGTGCAAAGAATCTTGCGAAATTCTAAACAAATTCACCTGATAAAATTTTAAAGATTGTTTTGCTTCCTTTATTTTGTCTCGTAAGATGAAAAAACGAGGAGATTCTGCCGAGATATATAATATAATCACGCAACAAGGTAAAAGTGCCAATGGCGCAAAGAGTGCAATTGGCCATAATTGTTCAGTGCCAAGTGCATAATCCGTACCGATGAAAAATCCAAATAATTCACCAGCACATGCCCAAAGCACCTAAATTTTTACTTAGCGATATTTTAAAAAATACTTGGATAAATGAAATACGCAAAAAAAATATTCTTAAATTTTTGCATAGATCATTAAGGCGAAAAATGTCTTAAAAAATATAATATAGTATAAAAATAAAAAATATAATAGCATCATAAATGGTTCATAAAAGGCATTGAAATATGGACAAATAAATATGGACAAAAATTCGCGTTTTGAAAATTCTCTCTGATATATAATTAATAAAAAGCAAGTACGAACATTAGAAGCAAGCACTCTACCACGGCAATACACCGACGGAATTTCGCTCATCATTGATACGCCAATTGTCTTAAATTGGATATTATTTTGTAATATTTCTAAATCTATAATAATTCTGAAGGAAAATAAATAATTATAAAAAGCCATAAAGAATTTGCCTTAGAAAATCTTAAAATCTTAACAATAAAATTTCTATTATTTTTTAGAAAAATTTAATTTTCATCTAATGATTTCGTTAAATTTTAAATAGTTCAATAATAATAATAATAATAGTAAATAACGAATTTCAGGTGCATATCGCTGCTGTTAAATATTTGCAAAACCTGTAAAATAGCTGATCCGAAACCATTAAGAAATCTTCCGATAAATGCAGCTACAATTCCACAATAGCCTAATTTGATGAATAAACACATTACACCACCGATCAGTTGTATTATCATACCAATTGTTATTGGCCATTTTCTTCCACAGATTATGGAAATGTAAATTGATGCTAGACTGCCTAATGCTAAGCCATATTTTCTCATAGATACAAGCCATTCCCATAATTGATCAGCTAAAAATAATGGCGATTAATTTTAATCCAACTATTCGCTCAACAAATATGCCTCTAATATTATAATGAAATAAAGGAAATGAATGATTGACTATAAATGTTATCGATTTCAGCAATAAAAAGAAGAAAAAAAAAACGAAGTGGTGCAAAATGGTGTAAAAAAAAACCTTTTTCATTAATGTAGGAATTGGTATAACTATCATTGTGAATACCATTATTACCGCTGTTATTGAAGAAAGTTTGAAGAAAAGGTAATGCGGCTGGCAGCAAATTATCCACAACACTATCTAATGCAAACTAAAATATCAATTTGCATAAATATTATTATTTTATGATATGATCATTTTTTCATTAAATGTCGCATTACAACCAATATTTGTCGAAATTAATATTAATGAAAAAAATTAAAATAGAACAAAAATGAAGCGATTTTACCGTGAAATATGCCGCATATCCAATGGCAAAACAAGTTAGAAAAAGATGCAAATTTGAAGAGGGAATTCCCAAAAAAGTTTCTCTCTTATAATTGTACATTTGTTCCTTAAAAAATTAATTTTTTAATAATAAATATGGCATAAATTTAATTTATAATAATAATAATAAAATAAAAATAAATAAATTTTCATATAAGTTTGAAAAATTTTTTATTATGTATTATTACTTATTATATTTTATCCTTTTAAAACTTCTTTTACTAGCGAGATATTCAAAATTCTAATGTATAATTCTTCGTCTATTATAATGCAAAGTATAAACGGTATTTCTATTTCATCACTTTCATCGTATTACTATAGATGGTACTAACCATTCGTTCAACAGTCGTTTTGAGAATGGAGACTTATATTTTATTTTTAATGATGGAATTTATTCCTTTGTAAGTGGAAAGCCACGTTGTTTGCTCACTAATTTTGAATAAATCTTTTCAAAAATTTTTTTCATTTCAATAATAATTGTTATTTGGTGAAATCATTTTTTGATGAAAAGAAATAATTTCAACAATTAATAATTTTAATTTTATTATAATAAATTATAATAAATTAATTAAATAAATTATAAATTTATTATAAATAATAGTTAATTAGTTTTATTTTGATTATTTTCGTTATTTTTAAAAAATTATTTTCTATTAACCACTTTTCTATATTTATAATTAGACCATCGTTTGATAATTTTTCATATGAATTTTAATCATTGCTTTTCACTTTTGTAAATAGGTAGAAACTTTCGCCAGAAGAACTCATCTTTGATCAACTTTTAATTGATGCTAGTAATACAACTATTTTTAAAAATTTATTGGCAACTGAAGAAGTACCAATTTTTGAATATCATTTATTTAATTATTTATTAAAAACCAGTCAAATAGGGCGACAAACGCTATGTGCTTGTATTAATAACAACAGTTAAAATAGCAAACAATTAAAATTAATAATAAGAAAAGAAAGCTTGTAATTCAACATTTTAACAGCATTTATAATTTATTATTCAGTAGTCAGCACACACCATTTCAAGCTCGCTGTACTAGCTGTTTGGATGCAAAACTTTTGCCATACAATCATTTAGGGATGAAATATAGAGATAAATTTCCAGTAATACCGAATTTTTTGGTAACTCGCCCTAAAGAAGCCATGAACTGAATCATTGAAATTATAATCTAATCAGTATACTACTTGGCTAGCGCAATAGCAAATCTGCAGAATCTTTTTATACAACTGCGAAACATGGCAAATGTGAGGGGGCGAAATTTTTCTAATTTTTACCACTCCCAATGTATTTTCTGATATGCGTTCCACATGATTGTTCTGCGGAAAGATTATTCACAAGATTGCATACATACTATAAGAAACAATCATCTACGATGGTTAGCCATGTCCTTTGCAGCCCATCAAATCTCTTGCAAAGGATCACGTTGAAGGATTCAATCATTGTATTATCAGATAGATGTTGCTAAGACAAACTTCGAATTCACAAGCAACCCAGCTCAGAAATTGGCGGTCCAGGTGGCAAGTTTCAGATACGGCGCCTAGAGAGCTTCATTATAATGTTTAGGGCAGCATAAACTAAAAATGGAGCTATCAAATATTTTTTATTTTTTTTGATTCCTAAAAAAAAGCTGCTCATATTGACTTTAAATTTTTTTAGCGGTGCAACAAATTAAAATTAAAAACAATTAAAATGGGCCTTTTTTTTAAGGAAATCTTTATAACTCACAAAGTAAATAACGAATAGATCCAGGAACTCGAAGGCTATGATTAAGCTTCATCGCAGGCTTAAGTTCAGAAGTACAGAAACTATATGCGAAACCTAAAAGGCGGAGCTATAATACAAAAAAGGAAAAAATTGTGAATGTAATGAATGAATGCAACAATTATATGGGCAATAGAGAAAATTATGGATAATATATTATCAATGAGGGTTAAAGGTTAAATAAAGGAAATTGAAAATTTCTTGTATATCAAATTATCCTTTAATCGCTATGTTATCAAAGATTAGTGCATAAATACGATCTTAAAGATCAAAAAAATCTATCATTTGTGATTTTTCTAGTCATTTTTCTTTTAACAGCAATCAGCAATTCAAATTTTGCTGCCGATTGCCAATAGTCACACGGCTAGAGAAGTGCAAACACCAGTTGTTACCTTAAGACTTTTGCTTTTAACTTCTAATACTCGAAACCATTAGAATGAAGAATTTTCGAATATTTTCACTGAATATTTTCCTATTTTTATATCTTTTTTTTTCTTACGAGTCTTTACCATTGCTGGTTAAACTCTCGTTCCGCTGGCTTGTCGCACTGGGCAAATATGCCAGGGAATACCTTGGCGATAGAAGTACAAGTGAGTCGCCAGCATCACCCGGATTTTTAGACAGATTTACTTCTGCGAGGTACAGAACTTCAGCATCGGTACTCAGAATTGAGTATCAACCAACTGAGCCATTCTATTTCCATTTTCATATATGTGAATAAACTCTTTGATAAGGATATGTTTTTAAAGTATTCTTATAGTCATTCAAGATAAAAAATTTAAAAAAATTTAAAAAAAAATTTATCAATGCATCACATCTCCAGATCAAAAATTTTCTTACGAGTCTTTTCTATAGTGCAGTTCCCGAGCATTATACGTATATTGCTTTGACCATTAGTTCGATTTTTATTTCTTGAACACATTAATGAAAGTGATTACCGGAGGGTGAGAAGTGCACTGTATTTCCCATATCCCCATATTAATTGGTTTAATTGGTTTTACTTTTATATAAATTGTTGAAGATAGCACAGTCTGTGGTCTGTTTCGAGCTGGTGACTACTGAACGATAGTATAAGAACGAGATAGAATAGAAATAACTTTGGCATATCTTATTTATAAATAATACGGCAGACGATTTTTGAAACATTTACTTGATTGCGACGAAATGATCAAAAGCACCTATTAGTACTAACGGTAGATATTATAAAATTAATATTTTATTAACTTATATCTTCGGAGAATTGTCGATTTATTCACATAAATGAAAGTAAAGTTAATAGCCGCATGAAGTTGACAAGTTTAATTTCCTAATTATAAACTTCATTTTCATTCACCAAATCAAATCGAAAAAAAATGATGGTGAAATTTTCGAAAGACAAATTACTTATTGCATACTTATTGTATATTTACGTTTAATATTTATTTTTTTAAAAAAATTGATTTCATTTTAAAAAAAATACAAAATAACAAACCATTTCAAATTTACTCGGCATTGTTTCATCGTTTCCATTCATCTTGAATTTTATTCGGTGAATTTCGTATGGCAATGAATTAACGCAATAAATTGGAAAATTTGTCGATTATGATAAAAATAATATTTACGATCCATGAATTCTTCTCAAGGCACATTACTTATAGATTAATTTCTTGTCTCGACAACATAAACACTACTTATGATCCATGATTCGTATAGTTTTTCTATCAATATAAATGAAAAAATGATAAATGAACGGAAAATATTAAATGTCGATGATAATAAAGTGAAAAATGGTGCCATTCTGAAAAAAAATGACCAGAATGAAAACAAATAAACAACAGCTGACGTTAAATGAGAATAATAAATGGTAAGTGAAGATAATATCAAAAATTTTTATGAAAAATTTTTGTCGAATTTTGCAGTTGCAAAATATCTTTTAATAATTATAAAAAAAAATTCATTAAAATATAAAATAAAAAGGAAAGAAGATTTTTAAAATATTTAAAATTTTTTAAAGATTTTAAAGAATTTTAATTTAATTTTGAAAATGTTAAAAAATATAAGAAAAAAATTAAGAAATAAAATATAGAAATATAAACTCAAATAAAAAAATAAAGAAAAAATACTATCAATACGAGTTTGATTAATAGGAAAAAAATGTTGAAAGTACTTTTAAGATGATAAGAAAAAATTCAAAATTTTTTTCTTTAGAAACTGGAATCATAAAAGCGAGTAAATAATAAACCAGTGGTTTGAACCAGATAATGACTTGACTAATAATCAGTGATAAATGAAATTATTATTATCAGTGATAAATGAAATTAACATTATTCTTGAAATAACCAAAACTGTCATATAATATTTATATAATATTTGAGATAATATTTATATTTTCTCTCTTTTATGTCTTTCTTCACCCCTTTCAATTTTTTTTTTTTAAGGTCCTCACCATTATCGGCTATATTCGCTCCACTGGCTTGTCGCATTGGGCGATATGCCAGCGAGTCCGTTGGCGATAAAAGCACAGATAAATTCTCAGTATCACTCAGAAAGGTTTTCTCTTGCGGGGAACCGAATCCCAGCATCAATTCTCCCAATTGAGCAACAACTCACTTTCATATAAGCCATTCTAGCCCACGAATATTTATTTACATTTATGATTTTCGTAATAAATAATTAAATTATTGCTAAATGAACAAAAAGAAAAGACCTTGAATTCCGTCGGTGGATTTTCGCATCAAATTTATTATTGCTCTTTTCTCTTTTCCACAAATCAATATATCCTTCCTGCCAACAATTTTATCCGCATTCAGTGCTTTATTTTTTTTTTTTTTTAAGTTCATAGTTTTGATTTTTAATAGTTGTTTCGCTTTTTTTTCTTTAAATTATTCATTATTCATAGCGATTTGCATAAATATATAAATTTTCCAAAAAAGAAAAATGTTACCGCTACTATCATTCGCTTTTTTCTGGCTAAAAATATCTATCATTTTATCACAAATTGATGATAAAAACCTATAGATGGGTTTTTTCTTTATAACATATCGAATTTTAAATTTTAATGAGAATTTTATCGGCCAATGAATGAGAGTCTATGCAAGTATATGTCGCTTATTTTCAGCCGAAGCAGCATTCGATCTATTAGCATCGAATTCTTCATGAACGTGAGTATAGCCTAATGATTACTTAGAATATCATTTTTATTTCAAATATCATTTGATTCCAATAATTCGCTCTTATATATTAATAGTTTTTTGGCCTTAGTCATATATTTATAAGACTTATAATTAGCAAAGAATTTGGATTTTTCAGTATTTTCATAGAAGTCTTTTATGTTCTCTTTCCCATATTATTGTCTATATAAATTTTCTTCTAAATCAGTTCTGCTATAAAACAGCCAGTGAAGACGTGAAGACGTAAATTTTAAAATGTATTTACTTGACTCGCCTTAAATTCGTTCGTTTTTCTATATAGCCTGCGGAGCGAGTCCAACCATACACTATAGGCAAATAGTGTATGCCATACTTTATCATTTACTATAAGATTGTTATTAGGTTTGCGTCTCATTAAATATTTTATAGATTAATGTTTAATTATTGTATGGTTATCATTACTTTATCAAGATTTATGCGCTAAAATGTGCTAAAATTTTAGGCTAAATAGATTTTAGATTCATTCTAAGAATCATCAGAACAGCTGATGTATAATTTTCATTTTACTATTTTTGTTCGCCTTTGAAATATATAATGTAAATTGACTGTAACGCATGGATTCTATATAAAAATGCATTATTCTGGATCTCATGTAATAGCGTGGATAATTTTGGTTATTTCAACAATAATGTTAATAATTTCATTTATCACTGATTATTGGTCAAGTCATTATTTGGCTCATAACACTGGTAATTTATTTGCTCATTTTTTCGATTCCAATGAAACAATTAATGTAACTTTTATGAAAAAAAAAACTCTGTTGTTACGATATAAAAAATAGTGATAATTATTTTTTAAATATATTAATCCATAAATTAATTCATTTTATTTTAGTTTTTTTAGTTTTCTCATAGTTTTAAATAAATTATTTTTAAAAAATTTATTTATTTTTATTATTTTATTTTTTATTTTTGAATGAATATATAATAAATAAATCTATTAAAATTAAAATTTATAAATAAATTCTTTTTTTTCTTTTTTATAAAAAATTTAATTAATAAATGAAATGTTTAATTTTTCATTTATTTTAATTATAATTGTTTAGAAACGTTTAATACAAATGGATTATGGAATGAATGTAGAAAATATGCAAAACAATTTCGATGTATTAATCGACTTTCTAAAATAACAAATGATATTCGCGAAATTTTATATTATTCCGATGATAACGAATGGGAATCGCAACAAAATTATGACGATGAAACAATAATACAACGTTTATTTTAAATTTTTTTGAGCTCAAATCTTTCCATTCCTTTCATCCATACTTTATATCTTCTTTATACCTTTCTAAGACTATTTGCTTGAATAATCCTATCTTCCTCCTCCAATCGGCTATTACTGATCGCCTCTTTCTGTATAATATGCTAGCGATCGTTGAGATCAATTAAGGCACTTTAGCTTATAAAGAAATCGAATTCGCATTTGCTTAATCTCAATGCCTAAATAACTATCAAATTCAATGCTATTTATTTGGTTATGAATGTCGTTTTTGGTCGTTGGTGACGAAAATTTCTAAATGTCGAACGAATATAAAATTTGAAAAATCGTCATTAAAGCATCATTGTTTGCAGTCTTATAAAGTTTTGATTTAAATGAAAAACTATTAGTGTAAATTGATTTTTTTTTTTAAAATTTAAATTTCAATCATATTTATGTATTATTTTAAAATATCAAAAGCATAATATATATTTTAAATGTAATTTTAGAGGTTGAATGGCCAACAATAATTTTAATATCGTTATCAATAATAATATCGTCATTTGTTATTATCTTAAGTCCGTGTTGTTGTAATCGTTGTAATTACTGTTTAAGTGTTTCAGTGATTGCTAGCGGTTTGTTTTATTTTTTTTCTTTTTTTCATTTAAATTAAAAAATACAAATTCATTTGCCATATTTGTTTTGAATTTTTTTTGTTGAAATTTTTTGTGAATTTCTCTATATTTTCATTGAATCTATAATTAAATAAAATTCAATAAAAAAAATAATAAATAATAAATATGTTTTAATAAAATAATGAATATAAATATTTTTATGAATATAAATATTTTTTTCTTTTTTTTCCAATGGCTATCCTATAATTTGCAAAATTTTTCTTTGAAAATTACTAATTATATATCGCCATTTTAGAAAGAAATGGGTTTTAATGAAGAAAAATACGATAGCTTATGCAAAATATCATATATATATAAATGTATAGATAATTGGAGCACTTGAAATTATGGCCCCTAAATGGAAAAGTGGCCCTAACAGATTCTAGAAAAAGCACCAGTCTATTTAGAACAATGCACTGCTAGGAACAGCCAAAATGGAACCCTCAATTTCCTAAGCCTTTATAAAAAATCCAAGGTGGGAATGATCTTTACTACCCACGGTGACTGAGAAGAAGATTTTTCCTTATATATGTATAAATCCTTTTGTAGGTTTTTGTTCAGCTTTTTCGACAGCGTGGTATGCTTATCAAAATCAGAAAGAACGCACAGTGACAATAAATATTCAGCACCCGGACGATTTTTTTTCATATCGAACGGTATGATTGATGTTTATTTTTAAAATATTTAGAATATAACTAGTTAATACAATTAAGAAGATTAATTTTCAAAATTTCAATTGTTCTTTTTCTTATTAGAAAGAAAGAAAAGAATAGTATTGTTCTCCTTCTTCCTTTAACATTTCTAGTTTAACTGGTTCCTATGGAACTGCTAAAATGAGGCGTTCAGACAACCAGTTTAGAGACGCTTGCAAATATAGTTCCAATTTTCTACTTCTTTCTCCTACAGTTTCTAGTTTAAGTGATTCCATAGACTGCTGCTAAAATGAGGCATTTAGATAAAATGAGGCCCAGTTTGGAATTGTCGTGGCTTGTAAATAGAGCTTCAATAGTCAAATGCATAAATTTTTTAATATTAATAATGAATAAGTTCCATTATTTTTTCCTATCGTTGTTTAATTGCAGTTCTTTTTGCAACTGAATAATTCTAATATTCATAAAAAAGTTTTATCACATGAAAAAAAAACGAAACTACAAGAACGTTATGGATTATTTTCATTATTTGTACAACCTAAAAATTGTTTGAAAATTTTTATATTTCCATTAGAGATTTCAATTATTGTTTTTTTATTTTTGTTTATTCATTTTCTTTTTTTTTTGTTAAAATACTGTCGCAGAAATTTATCAATTATATCATTTCGAAACAATTTTTGTTTGTTAATAAAAAATTTATTTAATATTTTTTTTAAAAAATATTTCTAAATTTTCGCTGAAAATTTTTAGGTCTTTCATGATTTAATGATTCATGCTTAGTAAATTAGCGGTTAAGTACTTATCATCTATGGTTAGATAGTTCCACTCACTATTAGAACGAGACATTTTTGCTAGAGAATCAGGTCATTCAAACGTAGAACTACAAATGGAACTGCAAGAACAAATGGCATCACTTAGGTTGCTCGAGGCAAGGGCAAGGATTAAATCTTAATAGCCTAAGCAATATATCACTGAACCATATCGAAGCGTTAAAATATATCCATTTATAAGATAATTAATTTATAAAATTATGCAAGAAACTCTTGGCGACTATATTTCCGTAAGTTCCGTTTTAAAAAAATACTGCGAAATGAATTTTTCATAAATCTTTTTTTCACTTTATGGTATGAATTATATACGATTGATTGCTGATGCATTATTATCAATGCTTTCGTTCTAAAAATGAATGAACTGAAAAATTCACAGAATAAAACGACCATTTTTAAGGCAAAAAAAAAAAAAAAGATATACGAATTCTTTATTAAAGCGATAACTAATTATTTCTTTCAAAAAATGATTTTTTTTTTTCATACGAACGCATGCATTATTAATGAAAAATATTTTTTCATTCATATTTCATAAATATTTAATAAATTTTAGAATTTTTAAATTTTTAAATTCAGATTTAAAATTTTATATTTTCTATTCTAAATTCTAAATTTTTAAAATTTTTTCAGCATAATCAACTTGATTGGTCGTTCTATTTAGCGGCAGTTAGCTCGATTCTACAATTTTTATGCGGTGCGTTATTCACATGTAGCAGAGGCCGACACGAATATATTATTGATTCTGATTAATAAATCATATTTGGCGAATTTCTATCAGTTTTATTTTATGTTATTTATCAGAGCGAAATTTTTAATTTGCAAATTTCACTATTGTAATAATTATCATTAGTTATCATTACTTACATAATTATCATTAATTAATTATCACTACTTTAATCATACGATATCATATCATATCATATTTATAAGATTTAAAGAATAAGGTCTATATTAAATATATTAAATTCTATAAATTTTAACTATATTATATTCGAAAGAATAGTAACTAAAAATCTTTTATAGGAAATAAAGTCTGAAAATTATTACTATAGATTTTAAATCATTATAGATCTAATTACAATTTTTTTTTTTTTTCATTCCTTTTCTCGCAATACAACAATTCTTTAGCCGTTTAGCATAGCTTGCGTCGCCATAATAAAATACAATTTTAATGGTTGTATAACTGAATAATTTAAACTATCAAGAACTATCTTTTATTCTCATAATCATCTTTTATTATGCTACTGTGGTACTTTGCATTTTAACCTAGTGCATTTCTTATCGATAAACAATTGTTATGTCAATCGTTGCATTATCACATATAAATCTGTAGAAATTTGAAAGAATATTATTGAATTTTCTAGAAGCTCCAAACGATTAATGCATGAATAATTTGTTCAAGAAACTAAGAATATGGATGAAAACAAATGAGTACTACTAATCTATTAATGTAAGCCCTAATAATCAAAAATAGAACTTCATAGTCTCCTTTTCGAATTATAAAATTATAAGATTTAAGGAAATAATTATATTACATATGTACTAAGATAAAGTAAAATTTTGTTTTTCGCAAAAATTTCGCAAAAATTATTTTCTTAAATTATACAATTTTAATTAAGTCTTTCACAATAAATCAATTTATTTTATACTGATAATAATAAAAGAAAATTGGTAATAACAAATACAGTTTAAACTCTTTCAATTATTATTACAAATAAAAATTGAAATATTTACAAAGAATACCCGTAAAAAATAAAATGCACCACGCATCATGAATTCTTATTTTTGTTTTGTTTTTGATTTTTTTTCACAAATATAATATAAATATTATATTTTATAATAGTAAAAATAGTAAAAATAAAGTTAGTAAAATAAAGTTACAATATTATAAATAATAATTTTTTTGATTATTCTTTATAAAATTGTAATTATAAAGAAAATCATAAAATCACAGTAAAATCACAAGAAAAAAAAAAGACTTTACAAATATATATTTATTAATAAAAATTTACAACGAGTTTGAATTTAAAAATCCTACTAAATTTAATAAATTTTTATTTATTAAATGAAAAAATATTTGTATTTAATGTGATCAATTTTTTAAATTGATCGTCGAAATATCACCATTTTTTCGAGGTGATTTAAACTTTAAAATTTATTAAATTAAAAACTTTAAAAAAAAGGCTAAATTAATAAATGTTTCGAATCATTTCTAACGTAAGAATAATCATTAAAATGATTTGTTTGACGAGTTGATGTTGGAAGATTTCCATATTGCGCTGTTGAATATGGAATTTGCTTTATTAAAGAATTGGTAATTTGATGATTATTCTGCGATCTGTTAAAAAAATATTTATATCAGTATTTTATCAGTATTTATAAAATATTCGTCAAATTAAATAATTAAATTAAATAAATATAAGTAAAAATTAAGTAAACAAAGTATAAAATACTTTTATTGTTGTGAAATTTTCTCAAATTTATTCAAATCAAATCAAATTATTGAAAAAAAAAATTTGACTAATCGCTATAAAACTAATTGCTTATTTAATATAGAATTCGATAACTTATAATTTTTAAAATTCGATGAAAACAAATCTAAAAATTATAAACATATTTCTAATTCCTATTGGTATTCATATATTTTGATTGATGCGAAAAAAGGTTACTTTAGGGAATTTCGTGTTAAACAATCCAAACGCGATTCAGTAAATAACATTCGTTGATGAGGAGGTGAAGGTGGATAAAATGCAGGAGGATTCGGTTGACTATCAGTTTCTACACAAGATGAAGGTACAGCTGCTCTTCCATTATTTAAATTAACTCTTGCTTTATCGGGTTTTCTCATACATTTGCAACAAATACATATGCAAATGCATATGCAAACCAACATACTAACAAATGCCATACATATTAATAATATATTGAGGCCCGTTAATGAACTAAGAGGATCAGCGTCGAAATCTATAAAATAGTATACTTCTTAAAATTTTAATTTTCAAATATTAGAGGTACTTTTTAATTGATTTTAGGATTAATCTTGTTCGATTTAAAATGTTTTTTATCTTTAAAAGTTCATTTTTAAAAAAACGAAGATTTTTTCGATAAATAAATTGCTTTTCTCTTTTCGTATGGCTTTTTTTAAAATTTTTTCTCCATTCAATTTTCATTTTTAATTGAAAATAGTTAAATTTGTTTTAAAATTTTTCAAAATATTTTAATTTTTCGCTTGTTTTTTCACATTTTTTTTTATAAAATTTAGCAATCTGCAATTTTTTATTTTTTAATTTATGGATGTTTTGCAAATTCATTTTTTCCTTCTAAAAGAAATTACCATTTTAAGTTTAACTGACATTAGAATAAGATTTATTCGTTAGAAAAATTTGTCGCCACTTGATTATAGATTTGCTATATCGATGGCTCAGTGGTAAGGTATTTATCAACGAGAATAAGCCGACGTATCATCCTTCATTATGCGGTCGCATAACGGAGAAAACAGAGATAACTCAATTGCTCAATTCAAATTAATTCGATAGGCTTTATTTAAATGAAAAAATCTTAATTAAAATTCACTATCATTAATTAAAAATTTAAAAAAAAAAGATCATATTTGGATAAATAAAACTTACAATCACATTTATGTGCTATTTGCCGCTCTCTAGAGAGATCAGATTCATCTTTACAATCTGGATAACGGTTACATGCAAGTTCTGCTGGTATGCATTCATTATTATCACATGTAAATTCTCTTTGAATATTGCATGGAGCTACAAAAATGGAAATTAAGTATCGAAGTGCTTTAATAAAGATTTTTATAGAATAAAAAAATGACCAATGATAATTTTTAAAATGGCAATTATTAGAATATCAGAAAGTATCATACTTTCTGATGAAATAGAATGCATGAAGTGATTAGATAGGACAATTGCCTATCGCTCGTTTTGTATAAAATTGAAATTTTCAATTTATTTAAAAAAAAATATTTAAAATTTGCGATAAAAAAAAAAGCATTAACCAGAATTCGATTTTCGAAATGCGGACCACAATAATCGAAAACCTTCTCCATTGTGATTAATTGGTAAATTTGCATCCGAATGCCACCACAATGTTAAAGCGTTCTCAGTTGATACAGCAAGTTCACTCGCATTACGTATTAAACCACAAAATTGACCTAATATTGGCCCAGGTGAAATTTCTTCTTGCTCAACTTCATTCAATTTTTGTGGTTCGATCGCTTTTTCATGCTTTAAATAATGATTATATTTTAATGATATTAAATCATATTATAAAATCTAAAATGATTTTAGTAATATATATCAATAAACTTATATCAATAAATTCTTTTGTTATATAAATATATGTCTTCATTAATTATAACCATTATAATTAAATAATCCACATTTAATTAATTACTATAGCGTTAAAAATTGTTCAAAAGATTTATTGAAATTAAGACGATCGTTTCTCAACTATTTTAATTTTTAATTATATATATTGCGAGTGAAAAAAAATTTATAAAAAAAAATTTAAAAAAAAATTAAAATTTAAAATTGTCTATCGACAAATGAATAGAAAATCGGATTAATACGAATAATGTAATTTTATAATCTTATAACTAATAAAAAGTACTTAAAAATATATGAATTGTCTGATGAAATCCAAATTTTCAAACAAACAAACAATAGGCGAAATTCCAAGTCGAACAGCTGCGACTAGAAATGTTTAAATAAGTGCTAACGAAAATTAAAGCGAAACTTCGCATTAGCTTTGTTTCAGAATGTATATGCTTATAATTATATAAGACTACAAAACATAGGTAATGTTCTCAGTCCGACGCTGATGCTGAGGTTCTATTCTCAGTAAAATAAAGTTGTCACTTAAAAAATTCAGTGATACTGAAGACTCACCTGATTTCCGACAAGCCAGCGAAGCAAACATAACTGGAAATAAGGAGCGTTCCCAGGAAAATTACGAATAAGAAATGTTAAGTTATCTAATTTTGACAATTCCTGTATAAAAATATTTTATCACACGATTAGACCCAATTTTATGCCATATGCGTCAATGATTAGAGAAGCATCGCCATAGGTGTTCAAGGTCTTATCACCACATAAGGACTAAAGTTTTTGGGGATAGAATGGCCCAATAGGTTTTTGAGTAAATTCAGAGCGCCGATGCTGGGGTTCGATTCCTCGCAAGAGTAACCTATCCAAGAAGCTGGATGATGCTGGCGATTCATCTGCATTTCTATCCCAAAGGACTCCCTGGCATATCAATGCGATAAGCCAGCAGAGCAAGTTTAATCAGTAATGGTTCAGAAGTTTAATCAGAAAAGACTAGCAATGTTGCTTCGCATTCCTGAAGACCGTATTACAGTAAATTTTTCATTTCTCTTCTCTTAAATTGTCACGGATTGGTGTATTGAAAAACAATAACAAGTAATAATATGAGATATAATGAAGTACCATATTCTAAAAACTTCCCTAGCGAAGATTTAGGTGAAAAATCCTGCACTATTATTTCATTTACTTTTAGGCCCTATCATTTTTTGAAACGTTACTTGTCAGTAATGGTGAGAACTCTTAAAAAAGAAAATTAAAGCTTATGATGGATAGCGTCAAAAATAGCTAGAATGTAATTCAACTTGAATGTAATTGATAAGATCAGAAAGGATTTAGCAATATATATATTTAGCAATATATACGCTTAGATAAAAGAAAAAAGTTTCGGCTACTTTTATATATGATCTCGTCATTGTTTGGAACAATACCTCACTACCAGAGCCAATTAAACTAGTAATAATGCTTTATATAAACTGGTGAAATGCGAATTAAAGAATGGATTCTTTCAATAGTAAATAAGGAAAATTCAGGATAGTGAGCTTATCACTTATTTCTTATTATATAAATTGTAAAAATAAAAAGCAAAAAAGGTAGCAAAAATAAGCAAATTATATAAAATCGTATTAAAATTTCGTAAGTGGTCATACTAATGTGGTAGTTGGGTGTCGGAAGCAACTGTCCAATTTTCCCTCATTCAAATATGATTTAATTTTGATTCATTTTTAAGATCATCACTCTCCAACTATCTGAAAAAGCTGCCAAAGCACGAATATCAGGTGACTACCGGGTATTTCGAAGATTTGCAAGGCAGGATGGAAGCCATTATTGGAATGACATGGCCTTGAAAATGGAGACGGCTGTTCGATTAGGCGTAATGGGAAACTATTCCGCCTTTTTCATAAAGCAACTATGATTCGGGGAACGGTTAGTGAAATGGTAAGGGACAATAATGGCATGGCTGGCTGATACGTTCAACGAATGGTATGCTTGCAACTGCGAGCTGCCAACAGAAAAAGAAATAATCTCCGTTATCCATAAGCTTAAGACCAATAAAATTCCGATTCCGGGAGAAGATGGTCTTCGGGCTGATTGCACATCGGCGCAGATCTGTGTAAATGGGGAACTGACAGACTAAGAACTGGTGTTCGTTAAGACTGTGTCCTTTCTCCTACAATATTTAACCATGCGATAGAGTGAATAATAGACATCGCTTGTCAGCACTGAGAAGGTATTCAAATCAATCCGGAGCATCGTATCATAGATATTTAATACGCTGATAATGTAGCCCTTTTTGCTGACAATTATGATGAAATGCAAATAATAAATACTAAATAACGTGTCAGAATCAATGTAAAATAAAACGAAAGCCTTTTCGTCTTATGTGCAAGAAGCTGATAAAATGCCTCTTTTATAAAGTCATTACCGGTTGAGGAAGTGCCCAACTTTAAATGCCTTGAGTCCACTCTAATACCAAATGGACAGACAAAAGATGATGAAATTACAACTCGGACCATCTAGAAATGCGTTCTTCCGGTTTTATGGAGTCGTCGTGACATCGCTATAAAAAGTCCGCATCTATATAGCCGTGATCTGTTCGATCTTGCTATATGGCTCTGAGATATGGCCAATGAGAGTGAAGGGTATTAAAAAGAGTTATCTGCCTTTGACCACTCTTGTCTTGTCTATCTATCCGCCTTCGTTCAAATACCACTTGCATAAATAATATCACAATGCGTCGCCTTCGCTGGTTAGGGTATATTCTACCACAGAAGTTGATGTTTCGTTACTTGCTAAACCATGTGATGGTTAACGTCAAAAGCGAGGTAAGCCAATCAAGACTTGGACTGATTGGACTAGCATTATATGGACTTAGACAATGGAAAAAGGAATGGCTTCTATTACTGTCGATGATGGCATCAGATCGCATCGTTTAAAAGCGTCTTACCCTTGTAGCCGTTGGAACCAGCCTAACCAGTATTGTTGAGAACTATTAGAAGAAGAAGAAATGGTCATAATTTATCATTCGTTTAAGTCACAGTAGATACTTATTAATTTTAAAAAAAACTAATTTGAAAAAATTTCATGAGCCGATTTAAATAACTCCATGTACTTCGGTATTTAAGTCTGCAGTACCAACCAGTAAATCGACAAATGATCGACTAATAATGATTAAAACAAGGAAGCTATTAAAGATAATTTATGATAAATTGCTCGAGTTTTCAAAAAAAAAAAAAAACAGAAGGAAATATACAATTGACAAATTACAAATTGTGATTAACTTTAAGATTAATATATCAATTTCAATTGATTTTTTTTTCACGAAATCAGTTGAAAAAACGTTTGTTTTGCGGATTCGTTCAAAAGAAAAAAAAAATTTGCCTCGAATTTTTTCATAAAAAAATTTAGAATAAAGTAAGCAAAGAAAAATAAAGAAAAAGAAAAATAAAAGAAACGAACATCGAAAACATGAAGCGTATCTTTGTTGCAATTTTTAGGATCACCAAGAACGTTAAAGTCGAGTACCCGAAGACGTATGCGATAACCAATTGGTGCTGTTATTAATAAAAAACAATTTTTCGAACCATTATACGGATGTGTACCATAAAGTTGATGCGATATTAATAAACCAGACAATCCGGAAACTTTTCTTTCTAATTTTGATTGACAATGATCTAACGAATTAAAATGACCATCGAAATATGCTAAAATATAATATTTACTTAGATTAAAATTTGCATTTAATTTTAAAATTAAGATTTTAAGATTAATTTTATTATTATTTATAATTTAAATATAAAAACCATACTGTTCATGTTAACTTTAGGTTTACGGTAATCAAAATAAGTTTAGAAAACGGCTAAAAGCGTTAGAGTTTAACTAGAAAAATGCTAGTCCCACTAGAATAATGTTAGCCTTGCGCTTTGGCTAGCTTCATGAAATCTTTAGAGATTCGATTCACGTATATACGTGAGAGTAAACGTATCATTAAAAATGAGTCGCAGTATTTCTTCTTATCACTTTTTAATCCGATCAATAATTATAGTGGATTTTTAATAATTTTAATAAGTTTATTGAACTAAAATATTTCATTATTGTTATGTATCGCATAACAACAAAAATAATTGACTTTTCGTTTTTCAAAAAAAAAATGAATTTAAGAAAAAAATTTAACAACTAACAAATTTGTGGATCATAGGAAAGGATAGCTTCGTTTAGAAAAATGCTATTGATCAATATTAAAATGACACAAACGAAATTATTCATTGTAATAATCAATAAAATAATGGCAATAACATCAAATATATTTTATATTTATTGCTATAAACCCTAAAATTATAATTTTTTTTTAAAAAAATGTAATATTTTCGGAAAAAAAAAGCCGAATGCGATCGATCCATTAATTATTGCAATAATTTTATTCGAAATTTCATTCTTGCAATATTTTTCTTTTAATATTTTTATAATGTTATACTTCATTGGCTCTGATTGGTCGAGCTGGGGTATATTGGTTTCGGTGAGGTGCATAGCGATGAGAACCATACTCCTTGACGAGAGTTGAAAAACTTTATATTAAAAGTCGAAATCAGGTGATGCTAGCTGGAAATGCGCCCCTCTATTCCTATCGTTAATATAATGGTTTTCGCTTAGCAGTCAGCCAAATTATAAATTGCGAGGACTTTACTTTATTGTTTAGTTAAAGTTTATTGAAGTACCATTCTATTTCCTATTTTCGAATTTTTTCAATAATTTTGAATCATATTTTTGAGTCATATGATTTTTTTTTTTTAAAATTTCATCAAAACAAATTCGTTTTTTTTTCAAATTTATTTTTTCAATATCAAAAAAAAAATATTGTTAATGGATCCTTTAGTGGATAAATTAATTTTTACAAAAAAAAGGCATAGAAAATTTAAATTTTTAAATATTTTATTTAAATATTTAAATATTTTATTTTTTTAAATTTGCATTTGCAATCAAAAACAAAATTTACAAAATGAATCATATGAAAATAAACTTCACCAAATAAAATATTAATCAAAGCAAAGTTTAAGAAAAAATTGGCAATAAATTCATTCTTTTCAACACGAAAATATTGAAATATTAAAATGTTTTTTTGGCTAAAAATTTTAAAAATGCCGAAATGAATTTTTATCTGCAAAACGCAAATTTATGCACTAACAAAATGATATATGCCATGAAAAAAAATGACATATTGCATTAAATGATAGATTGCAATACGTGATAAATTTTATAAAACAAATATTTTTGTGGATTTTTAGGAAAATAATGTAAAAATTTATGAAAAATTTTGCGAAATTAGTGGAAAAATTAATCTGATAATAAGCGAAAAATCGCTGAAAAATAAAAAATAAATTTTTATTAATAAAACTTTCGGCGCAATGATTCTATCAATATTGTCAATAAATTATTTGAAAATAATTTTTAACTGATAAATTTGATAATAAAATGAAGAAAAATATCTTTTTTGAAGGAAAATATCAATATCTTCTGCAGCTATTTTTCTAAAAAATTGAAAGAATTACAAAACATTATATTATTCCAATATTAATTTAATAAAGCTTAATTTTCATGAAAAAATGCACGAAAAATATATATATACACATACATATGTCGTGAAAAAAAATATAATAAAAATAATATAATAAAAATAAAATGAAAAATACACTAAATGGAAGAAAAAGCGAAAATAATTTTTAGCGGAAAATTAAATATTGAAATTAGCCAGAAGATTAATGAGATTACAGTATTCTAATGAAATAATCTTTCGAGTTTTTTTTTTGGCATATTTTTTTCAGTTGATGAATAATGAAAAAATTATTACAAAAATTATTCAATATGAAAAGGTTTAAAAAGGACTAAAAATAAGCGAAAAAAAATTTAAATTCTTACATTAAAAAAAAAGCTATTATAATTTGATTTAGAAAAATTGTTAATTTATTTAAAATTGCTATATTCAGTTAGAAAATTAAAGAAAAATTCGTAAAACTGATAATACAACTGATAAGAAGAATTCATCAATAAATTACTTGTTATCGAATGTGTTTCCGTGATGGTTTTATTCATTCATTTAATTATTTGTCAGATCATAAATTTTATTGTTATTTAATTTAATTTAAAGTTTAAAATTTACAATTAATGTATCAGTACTAATTTTCTAATGTACTATTAAATAATAAATATTAAAAGCATTATTTTTTTCAATTTCGCTCATAATTTTATGCGAAAAATTTAATTTTACTGTAAAACATTAGAATAATTTAAATTTTTTTTTGAAAAAATACAATTTAAAAAATTTTAGAATTTTGAAATAAAAAAATTTGCATAAATTTATTCAAAATTAAATAAATAAAATTATTAAAATGCAATTATGAAAATAAAATTTAAATTATCAATGGGTAAAAAAAAAAACTTTTTATTATTGAAGAGAAATAAGTGGAATGGAAATAAAGAGTGGAGGATTGACTCTCCGATACACCACCACACCACCACAGAGCAAATACATCAAAAAGTCTGGCAGTTTCAATACTGGCTGCTACATTAATCATTTCATGTCAAATAGCCCAAAGGCAATTCGTTTTCTACTTTATAAACAAAATCACTATATGTATGTATATAAATATATATATATATAATTTATTTATCATCATATTTTTTTATCTATTTATTTCTTAAATCAATTTTTTTTATATGATCAAATTTATAAATATTTTTAAATTTATAAATATTGATAATTTAAATAAACAATTAAACAATAAAACAATGAAAGAGAGGTGTTAATTATTATTAATGGGTCAAAGGCTAATAAAAGGCTAATAAAGGTAAATAAAAAAGAACAATATAATGAATATAAGTAATAAAAATAAAAATGATGGTAAGAATATTGTAATGAACACTAATTTTTTTTTTATTTTTACAACCATAATTTATTACTATAATTGTACTAATAAATTAGCAACTTTTATCAGTTTTACAATCATCGCCATCATCATTATCATTAAATTTGATAATGTCATAAATTTATTGCCTTATTTTTATTTTATAACCGAACAACTTAAAGATATTATCTATAATAATCTATTAACTGGCATTAAAACAGTTCTGCCTTATTTGTCACAATGTGAAAAGACTATTGACATTATTTTAAATTATATTGTTTCCAAAGATTCACTTACACTTACCATCTCTGACACTTTAGACATATTTTGCTAACTTATCGGATTAGTCTAGCAAGTCATTCACTGTAATTATAGATAAGGTCGCCAGTATAACCAGGAATTTTAATTTTATCATTTGCTAAATAGATTTTAAATTTTTTTTTCTTATCGAGAAATTCTCCAAAATTTCCTCTCTACGTTGCAATAATCGATTCAGTCAGTAATATCATTAAAATGCAATTAATCAAGAGAAATAAAAATAAACGATAAAAAAATGGAAAAATTTAGAAATTAGATCCATTTATTAGCAAGTCAATAAAATATGAGCAGATGAAGAGTAAGCAATTTATAGGACAAAATATCTTATGGTCACTCATAATATATGTGGCGGTAGTGACATTTGAAGTGGCCATCACTCAAACGGATAACTGAATGACCGTCATCTGATGAGGATTATTATCTGCACTTGTCAGAAATGTATATGAATAAGATCGAAATCATGCTAGGAAATTTCACCCAGCATACATACAATATACAATTTTTCTAGAAATTATTGAATATTCATTTTATTTGTCTGCTAAAAAAAAATCTTCATTTATATATTTATAAAAAAAAAAAAAACTTTCCCATATAAGCCAAATTATAAAAAGAAAATTCTTCTTTTTTTTAATATAATTTCATTTTTAATTTGAAATAAATTTGTCGAATTTTTTTTAAAATAAAAAATATTTTTGTAAAGCAATATTTATAATATATTATTGTAATAATATTTTTTTACAATAATATTTATTTATTTTATAAATTTTGAAATAAAAATGACATATGTATATATATATATATATATAAATCAATAAAAAGTGCTACAAATAGGCATCAAAAAAATCAAAAAATTTATCAATTTTTTCGTCGTCGAGAAAACTTAACACTATACATAGAACGAATATATCATAAAGAAAGTTTTGAAAGAAGCTTTTTTTCATTTTTTATAATAAATGAAATAAATAGAAATTTTGGTGAAATCATTTAATCAGTGAAAAAAAAAAAGATATGAAAAATCTAATATTGTAAACGTGAAATAAGAAAAATTATAAAATTATTTTAATAAATTGCTTTTTTAAATTGTATTAATAAATCGTACAGTACAAATAAATTTTAAAAAATCAAAAAATTTTTCTGGAAAAAGCAAAATAGAAAATGACGAATTTAAAAGTTCTCTTTAATCTTTAATGATTGATCATTTTCATAAAAACTTCTTTATTATTATTATTATCATTATTATTATTTCAATATAAATTTTAATGAATTATCACTAAATGCTTTGTTAAATTTGATAAATTATCACCATTTTGCAACTGGTTTCAACACGTGTTGATCGAAATCATTTAAAACTCATTGGCGCGCAATTATTTAAATTTTTCATAAAATTACCAAAGAGGAGAAAAGAAATGAAATAAGATAAGAAATAAGAATGAAATTTCTTAATAATAGTTTTGAAATTCAATAATAAATGGAATTTAACTCGAAAAAATGAGGGAAAATAACCGAGTGGGCAGTGACTTATAAAAAACTTACAGCAAAGCTTAGAATAACTGAAGAAAACGCTTTAATTAAATTTATCAGATTTTTCAGAAAGAATTTCTCTTTTTTTTTTCAAAAATTCTTTTTTAGTGATAAAATTATATTTAAATTTTAAAATATAGTTATAAATACTAAGATAAAATTCATATATATATATATGTATAACCATATAATTATTAAAAATAATATAATAATATTAAAAATAAGCTTGGAAATTTTTAAAATTAAAGAAAATCGAAAAATTTGTTTCTTTCGATCAAATTTTGTAGGACGAAAGATTATTGATGGATAGGTTCGTGTTGCTTTGATCTATTCTTTTTTTCTTTTTTATTATGGTTGTTAATGATCGAGCAGTACCATTTAGTGAATTATGAGCTAAAAACATATGAAAAACTAATCAAAACCAATTAGTTTTCATCAAATCGACAATATTCTCAGACAAAATTCATTTATTCCATTTCTCATTTACTTCGTTGTGAAAAAATGGGAAATGGAAAAAAAAAAATGAAATAAAAATTTAATTATTTGTCAATTAAATGTATTTATTGGACAATGAGTGGAATTATTTGACTGATTTTTAGTGATATTGGTTAACGAACTGATAAAACTGATAACATTAGAGGAATACAAATAAATCTTCT